GCAGGAATGGTATTTCTTCAGTCCACGAGACAGGAAGTACCCTAATGGCGCGAGACCAAACAGGGCTGCAACGTCTGGTTACTGGAAAGCCACTGGAACTGACAAGCCGGTCTTGTCCTCCGGTGGGACCCATAAGGTCGGAGTAAAGAAAGCACTCGTATTCTATGGTGGAAAGCCCCCCAAAGGGGTGAAAACGGATTGGGTCATGCATGAGTATCGTCTTGTCGAGAACAAATCCAGTAATAGACATCCTGGTTATGACTTCGGCAACAAGAAACAGTCCCTTAGGGTATACAGATTTCTGTCTGAATGAGTTGAATGATCGTTTCGTGTGTGTGCTTTTTGGTTGTGGTTATCGATTGATGTTTTTGTGTTTGAATCTTTGAAGCTTGACGATTGGGTGTTGTGTCGAATCTACAAGAAGAACAACACAGGGAGACATGTGGATAACGATAAGGACGACATGATCGACGATATGAATATGATCTTCCGACAGTTCCAGCCGCCGCCTTCGATTTCCTCCGGGAGAATGAACTTTTTCCCGGCAAGAGTCTCCAACTTTGGAACATTCTCCGACAACGTCATCAACAGTACTATTGATGTCACCGACACTAACGCCGGTCTCGATCTTGCTTCTCCCTCATATGGATCGAAGCCCGAGCTGCCGATGATGATGACGGCGACGAGTCTCAAACGTGATCTTCCGCGGCCATATTGGCCCAGGATGGCGGCGGAGGAGGAGGAGACGGTGGATGGGTCATCGCCGAGCAAGAGGTTTCACGGCGGAGAGTGCTCGAACATTACCCCGATGTTCGCGCAGACACCGCCATTGATGCAACAAGAGATGCTAAGTGAAGGGTTATACAGAACATCGTACCAGTTGCATGGATTGAATTGGTACTCTTGAAGATAAAGAATTCGAATTTTTCGATTTCTGGGATTCGGATTAAGCTGTGGAATATACACTTTTTGCATTACATTTGATTTTTGTGTAGTGTTTGGGGTATTTTGGCTTTGATAATTTGGTTATTACTATCTATAGATAGGGGGAAAAGAGATTTAGAGAGTTTGGAGAAGTGAGGCGATATATATACAAGTATAGGTTGAAATTCTCTTTATATTGTTTTTGGGTCTAATTCTAATCGTTAAATGTATAAATATATATACTATGTATTTGTATAGATGCATATATAAGAGATAAATGTTCAGCTTTGTTTCTTTTCTGTATAACAATTATGCAAATGAAGTGTTCATATATATATAGAGAGTGTTTTTAATATGTATTCGATGTGCCAAAAATGCAAATTGATACACTAGATATTCCAATAAATTGATCAATATTATACAACATAAAACAATACAAGAAAAATATGACATATATACATGCACATACATATTATATCTGTACGTGGGGCGGTGGGGGGAGAGAATGCATATGATCTATACAATACCCATATAAATTTAAGGAAAAAAATATGATTATTTTTTGTTCTGGATTTCTATATAATAGGCATATCAAGTCATAGGATCTATATATCATATAAATGATTCATCCAATTCTAAAAACATATATGTTAGTATCAATTTTTTTTTTGTAGATTTCAGACATGTTAATCTTATAATATAGACTGTTTATACATACACATATGAATATTCCTATGATTTGATTTGAATTCCAATTTATTCTTTGATTAAAACAAATAACCTCCTAATTAAAAGAGTTCCCAGATATGTATGGGTGTAGGTGTCATTTTCTTTTCAGAAATAGATTTGATTTGACGTCGCCAAATATATTGCATAAACCAAAAATCAAACAGATAAATTAAATTAATAACTATAATCCTGCTTTCAATTGACAACCGAGCACATTTTTTAAAAAAATTATACAATCTCATAATTATCAAGAATCTAATAATATAAGTTAATTATTTTCTAATGCATAATTTAAATTTCTTCCATGCAAGTAAATTGATATTTTTAAAGAAGAAATTAGAATAAAAAAGGGCTAACAATGGACCATAGGTTTCAACATCAACAAAAGGAATCATTATCTTTAAACCAATAAATTAAAAACCCCTTTAATTACATTCCTCTTATGGGTAAGAAGTACAGAGCAACTTTCATGAATTTCCATATTATTAGTGCTTAAATTTAGAAAATAAATTTATTTTTAGGCCAAATTTGCCATGATTTCATCCCCTATTTTCTTTTTCTTTTTCTTTGAATGTCATTAATTCCTTAGAAATTCTTTTTTTTTTTGGGCACCAATTCCTAACAATACTATAAGATATAGCCTTACATGCATTATCACAATGGCTTTTCTTAGCAAAAAAATGTGCAATTTCTTCTTTTTTTCTTGAAGGTTTTTCTGGGCAAGGTAAAGACTAAAATGACATTTTATATAAATAGAAACTAAAACAAAATTATTGAGGCGAAAAAGGGAAAAAAAAAACTCGAAAATAAAAGAAAAAAATATAGAGTGGACGATGAAGTGGATAGCTATACATTTTCAATTTATATCGGAGAATAATAAAATCTAATATGATATAGAAGAAACCATTAAAACATAGTAGAATTAAAATTTAAATATCATCTGTATAGCAAATAGTCAAAGTATTAAAATATATTATAGAAATAATTTAGATATCAAATGTATTTTTTATTTATTTAAATATTCCTTCGAGATAATGAAAAACCCTTTTATATGATCATTCCAATGGTGGATTATTAATTACTTGGACCGAAAGAATATAAAATTTCATTTATTCCAATAAAATAAAACGATAGCTTAAAGCTTAAAATTTACATTGACCATGTGGATTTATTAATTACAGCTGCATTAATCACTGAATCTGTTCATGATGTTCATAATATGTGTTTATATAAAAAAAAAATTGGAATTAAGGATGAAAATTAATGGAGGTAATCAATGTTTGGTGGTGTTTAATTAGAGAGGAGGAAAGAGGGAGAGATTCGATTGCATTGACAAAAGGCGATCCCTTCGTGATTGCGAAAGGAGTTCAATTTCGGAATCAATCAAACCTCTCTCTTCAATGTATTTAAACCCATAAAAAGAAAAAATGCAACAATAATCATAAAAATAGTATTTTATTATATTAACATATGGTTTCCAACTCAACCATAAATGCAATTTTCCTCATCACAAATTTTTTTATAAGGTGAGAGAGAGAATGAGGACAGTGGGTCCAAAGAATCGCATCCATTCAATGAGAATCGAAATCTAGATATACTAGATTTGTTGAAATACTGTATTTTACTTATTAGGATGTTGTAATTTCGAGCTAGACCCATATAAAGATGTATATGAATATTAGAATGATATTCTTAATTTCACATGAAATATATATATATTTTTAACTCACAAAATTTGCTGTCAATTACAGATAGATATTGGTATTCTATAATTAAAATTCAACTTCAAAGTCCAAGTAAAATTCATCTGTAAAAGTTAGACCGGATTTGGATACAAAAGCAAATTGGTTTAGATCTCTCATCCATCATCACGGTTTCCAATCAATCAAAGATTATAAAAAAATGTATGGATTTCGGTGTGATGCTTGGGAAGATGGTGGAGCAGATTTTTTAGGACATTACTTGAAACAGTGGAAGAAACAGAAGGTTTTTTTTTTTTGGTTTTAAGAAAAAATAAATAAAAAAATGGAGTTTTTAGTTTTTAATTGATTTTTTTTTAATTGATAGTTCGAGAATAAGGTTGATTTAGGGATTGAATGGTGATAAATTTTTTTTTGACTTTTTGGTTTTTGTTTTTTTTTTGTAGTATTTGTAAATAAATTTACAAAATATTAATTGTCAATTTTTTTTTGGTTTTTGGATTCTAAAAATTTGAAAAACTCTGTACATTCAACCCCTCAGTTAGTCTTATCCGTTTAGAATAATGAGTTTTGTAAATAACAATGTAATAAAATTGAATCCAAAATGATTCCTTCAAAACCCAAGCCCAAACCTGTAAAGCTCGAGGCTTTACAACTACGACCAAAGTTTTTTTTTTCTTTTTGGTACAAAGTAGTTTTCCCATTTGCCAACCATTTGGGTTCTTCCAAAAAAAAAAAAAAAAAGCTTTGTTGCCGATTGGAATGGTAAGAGAATTTCAAAGATGGGCATGAAAAAATATTCCATTTCCATCTATATATTATAATCTATTTTCAGATTGGAATCACACCAAACCCAATTCTCTAGAATAAAAAAAAAAAAACATGAAACCACCAAGAAACTCAACCTACGCATACGATTTGAACTAAAAAAAAAAAGCTTCCATCTTTTTCTTGTGGAGAATGCAAGTCATGAGACGAAACCCACATGGGGAGGGTCTAGAGATGGCCGGAAAACTACCACCGGCGGCGGAGAAGTCGAACCGGGTCAGCCGGAGGAATACCGGGTCCGGTATGAGGACCCGGTTGGCTTGCACGTGCTCGGGTCGACCCGGTTCGACGAGATGTGTGCAGCACGGCTACATGGTTCCAAGCGGGGAGAAGAAGGTGGTGATGAGGAGGGCGAGTGACGGAAGCAGAGAGGTTTTGCGGCGAGCTATGACGCCGCCAGGTCGCCGGATAAGTCTCCGGTGGTGGAATTTCCGGCCGACTCCGAGCCGACTTTGCAACATGTCCTCCGCTTGATCTCTTCTTTCTGAAATAAAAATATTGGTGGGTTTTAAAGTTTGAAACTTTATATATATGTTCCAACTTCATTTGATCTCATTTCTTTATGTCCTGATGAGGAAAAAAGGCATATTACTTCTGATTATATAAAGGCAGAGCAGAGAATTCAACAGTCAAAATACGATTGCAAGTCAAATGTTTGAACATTGAAATCAAAATCAAATATCAAATTCTCGGCAAAAGATGCCATGGATTCAGTAGACAGAAGAAACCGGCATCACATATTTCATTCTATAGAGGGCAGAACGTGTATTGGAGGCAAATCATACCTTATACGAGAGACTGTTTTCATGATTCGAACCCCTGGACTCAAATTTCCTTCTATAAGAACTCGAAGAATAGATTCTAAAGAAACAGAGCACGAGGTGAAACGCATATCGTACCCTAGAGTAGCCGTTGTTCGAGAGGAACCAAAGCCGTATAGCTTCTGCCTTCCCTGTGAACATTGTAAACCCTGTGTTATTCCCCATGCCTAAAACTAAAAGCCATGTCACTTGAGTTGACGTTGCAATGTTTCATCAGGCCTCTGACAGAATTCATGTCACCGAATTCCTCAGACTTCGTTGGAGAAGATGGTAACGAGCCAGACTGCGTATAAATTAGGGGTGTCAATCGGGCCCGACCCAGCCCTTGCCCGCACTGCGTCCCGACAAGCTCGACGCGCTCTTGCATCTGGGTGCCGTCTTCAGACCGGTCGCCGGCGAAAATAGTACCGTTTCCGATGCCCACGGCGTTAGATGCAGACACCAGGATCTCTCCGTGAGCGAATCCGACGAAGACCCGCCACGACTTGAGCTCGTCGCGGCCGATTCGAACCTGTAATTACGTGGAGGGATCTAAGATTAACCTAACGTCTCGCGTCCCACATCGAAAATTTTGAGATTTTGATACTTGAGTTTCCTCTATAAAAGAAGGACAGGGGGGAGTCGTAGGTCCATCCCGTCCTGTCAGGGGTGAGAGGCGATCCGTCCATGACCGTAAAGGGATGACGGATCGTGCCAACACCTGTCATGCGAACTAAAACTAAATCATCGAGGCGAGTGGGCCTAACCCTACTTACGTTGGGCCTGCCCGTCAATTTTTGGAAAAAGCCTCGACACTGTCAAGGCTCTAAATCTTTAGAAAGAAGAAGATGCTTGTATTTTAAAATCCACAGTTTTGTAAAACACCGTTTTGTAATTTAATATTCAAAATAAATATTAAATTATTCTGATTTTCAAAAACATTGTATTTGTTTTTTTTGTATTCAATTATTTGATATCTAACTAACTATTAAATTTGTTTTGAATATGTAATTAAACACTGGTTTTATATTTTAATATTAGGTCACAAACACTAATATTCCACTTAATTTCTTAAATACATAAGCTTTTTAAACTATGTACCAAAGGATGTGAAAAGAAGGAAAAAGCGGAGATTACTTATATACTATTTGAAAAAGTTGAATACTCAAAGATTAATGCGGAAAACTAATCAGTTCTATTCACTTGAGAAAGATAGTCAAATACAACTCACTTTTTGTTGTAAGAATCGTACTTACTACACACACCCGAAACTCCCCCTGAGTTTCTTCCCCTCTCACAATGAATTCTACTGATAAAAAAACCTCACAACATAAATCACTCACCAGAGAAAGGAGATTTGCCCAATCGGTCTCCCCCTCAGACTCGCACTCACCAAGAAATGAACACACACTCACTTAACAAAATAGACTCAGAAATTATGCTCTTGCTTTCTGTAAAGCTGATATGCACTTATTCCTCTATTTAAACTCCTCTGGTTCGTCTTTAGATCTCCACGAAGTGATTAGGTCGACTTCTACTTGATTCTCGCTGATCTCGAGTCTATCTTCAAGATCTCGCCTTATCTCTTGTTATTGACTCTATCTCTTCAGCCTTAGACTTTATCTCTTCGGTCTTTGACTCTATCTGAATCTCGTCAGTTGTACCTCAGATTTGCCTGAAATCTCTCATAGGTTGTTGAACCTGCAACAACCTTTTAACAACCAAAACAACACGTGCAAATACTTGCACTAACAATCTCCCCCTTTTTGGTTATTTCAGATCATGCACACAAACACGAATCCTTCAACTGAAATCATCAAGGTTCAAAACAAAACACCAAAAGCAGAGTTATCACACAACCCCACATAAGTTATCAAAACAGACAGAGTCATCAAACACAGAAGTTCAGATCATCATCTAAGAAAAAGTTAGAAACGAAGAGATGAGTCATCATCCGAAGGATTCCTGGCTTTCCTTGTCTTCCTGCTCGTTCCTGACTTCCGGGATGTTTCTACCTTCTTAGGGATCGGCTTAGGCGTCGGCTTAGGCATCTCAGAATCCTCTTCTTCGTCCTCATCATTTGAGTCTTCTTCTTCTGAGTCGAGATTTCCTTCTGCTTCCTCAAGTTCTCCCCCTGTGGGCATGAATGAAATAATCATAAACACTAATATCGAGGTGAGGAGTACCTGAATGAATAATGAACACATTACTCAGAGTTGCTTCAACATATTCGTGGACTGTTGCTCGGATTTGCTGACAATGTGTTGCCTGCTTCCTTAGTCCGAGCTCCATCTTTATCAATGCTTTTTATGCATCTTTGAGGGTCTCTAGCATCTTCTTGCAGTCATTCTTTCCTTTCCCCTTTTTCCTTTTAATTTTTGTCTCAACCACCAAGGGTTTCTGAATTACCTCAGTGTTTTCCTTTGGGTCAATGAGTTCCGGGCACTGCTTGGTGAGGATGCTCTGAATTAGGCAGGGATAAGGTAATCTGAACCTTGCTCTGAAGTTCAGTGCTCTTTCCAGAATATGATCGAAGATCATGTTTCCATAGTTGATTTTTATCCCTTTCTTCACACAGAAGATGAGTACTGCTAGCCTCTTGTGGATCAGACTTGATCGCTGGGTTGGTAACCAGTTAGCTCTGGCTATTTTGAACAGTACTGAAGCCTCAAAGTTTAGCTCCACTGGGGCTATTTCTCCTTTCCTCTTTTCATCAAAGGTGTCAGTGAGAGCTATTTCCAGCTCTTTCTGGTCAATCTCCCTGTCCAGCTCATCCATGATAGGCACAACTGAGTTCTTCAAGCCCAAAAACTTGTTGATTACAGCTGGAGAAAAGTGCAGTATCTTCCCTCTTATGTACACCCGATGGTACATTGGATCTCCACCCTTCACTATCTTCTTCGTAATGTTTGCATAAAATTCTTTGATCAGAATTTTGCTGTGAGGGCATGCATAGGTAACTGTCTCTTCTAGATTCAGACGTTCTAGGATGTCCCATATCCCTTGCTCCTTGAGATTGCTGACATTCACGTTTCTCTCCACAATTGTGTTGAAATTCTTCATGTCATTGAACCTTTGTTCAGATTTCTCATCAACAAAGTGATGAGACATGCACAGGCTCGCCAGTAGTTCCTCATCTTCGGACCCAGAAGGAGAACTGGGTATCTCACTTTCTTCATGAACCTTTCTCTTCCCTTTAAGTTTCTCCTTTCAGTATTCCTCAGAAACCTTTGAGGATTTTGCTCGGGACATGTCTTTTGCTGGTCCAGCCTTTCTTTTCTCAGCTTTCTTTGGAGTTTTGTGCTCAGCAATCACCAACGCAGGCTGTGATTTTGTCTTCCTGTGAATCTTCTTAGGAGGACTTTTTGTAGTAGCCACTGGTTTTGCAGCCACTTGAGATCTGGTACGTGCTCTCTGTTCAGCCATCACTCGTGAGTCAGAACTCTTCCCCTTTTTCACAGCAATCTTTACCTTAGACTTCTTGCTTTCAGCCTTTCGTGCTCGTGAGTCCACTTCAGGTTCATCATCCTCTTTTGATTTCAGCACTTCTGTTTCTGTTGCTGAATCCGCAACCACTTCGATTTCAGCATTCTTCGATTTCTCTTGCCCTAAGTGACCTGAGGGCAGTTCCTCCATCTGTTTGGATGTATCTCCCACATTCTTTTCTGATTCTAGGTTCTCAACACTCACATCCATATCAAAATCTACACGCCTTCTCGTTCCTTTTCTTATCAACCTAGGCTCACTATCCGAACTCTCCTCTATATCTCTAGTAGAGTAAGTAAAGAGATCATCAAGTTTACCCGAATCAACTTGTTCTGGAGGCAGAGAGGTCTGAAGCTCCTCGATTTCTTTTCCCTCGTCTTCGATCCCAGTGTTTCCTTCCTGTGGTTCTTCTGGGATCTCCGCGTCCGTTTCTTGGATCTTCTCCTCTGGACTCTCGAGTTCTTGGATTTCATCGCCCACTGTATCTTCCTTGCAAGTCCGTAGAATCTCCCTCGGATTTCGGTGAGATTCTTCTGATGGGTTCTCTTCTGGATCTTCTTCAGCACTTACAAACGAGTTTGAAGAGTCTTCTTTCCTGGGTTCACTCGATTTTCCTTCTTCAGATGAACCTTCCTCTGATTCTAGGTGACGATCCTCACCTTTTTCTTCTCTCTTTTCTTTTGGATCCATGCTGAGACTGAATCTAGGGATTTTATTCTCTCTTCGTAACTCTCTGTTGGACCTCACACTCTTGCGAATCAACCTCCCAGATTTTAGGGTTCTTCAGCTCCAGAACTTCGCAGGGATAGAGAGAAACACCTCTTTTTATTTTGGGCAAAAAGTTTGTTTGGGAGATCTCTGATTTTTCGGATCCCACTTCCCCATAACCGAAAATTTACTCAACCACTCACATCAATCTTTTCAAAAATAACGTTTAAAAAATTTAATGAAACAGAATTCCGTTACGCAACAAACTTACGATTTTAACACCAAAGGAATTTATTCTTTCGTACCTTAGTTCGCAGTGTATCAAGTTGAGTCAGTGACACCTCACTCTTCGTCCAGTGCTTACTTCACCCAGTGAAGATACATTTTTCTCGTATTCGTTTTTCATCCGCCTGAACTTCTAGGACGTTGAGTCCAATCATACTGTTTCACCACTTAAGCCCAGTCTATCTCATTGAGATATACTCTTGTAAAGTATCACCTTACAGCGGAGTATGATGAATTAGTTACATCTGACCTTAGACCGTGGAATGAACTGTACGTCGTTCAACTTAGACCCGAGCGATTTTGTTAATCTACTCATGTCAACCCTTTTTTTTTTTAATGAATCGAAACAAGAACACCAATAATCACTCATTTTTGCCTGAGTGTATGCTGACAGAGGAGTACCAGGGGATTTCTGTATTACATATGTTTGAAGTGCACCTGACAGAATTGTGAAGTATCACTGACCGCCCTTTCAACACTGTATCACTTAAACACTTCAGAACAAACTCAGTTAGTGATCAAAATAAAAAATTTCCAATACCAAGAGATTTTTGCAAACAGATAAATCTATTCATGTCAAGTGGTTTAGTAAATATATCAGCTAATTGATGTTCAGTGGGTACGTACTCAATTAGAATACTCTATTTTTCCACTTGCTCTCTGAGGAAGTGATGTCTTATCTCTATATGCTTTGTTCGTGAATGCTGTACTGGATTCTTAGAGATGTTGATTGCACTTGTGTTGTCACAATGAGCCGTAAACGAGTGAGTGTCGATTCCATAATCAGTCAGCATTTGCTTCATCCACATTAATTGAGTACAACAACTTCCCAGTGCGATGTATTCGGCTTCAGCAGTGGATAATGATGTTGAATTTTGTTTCTTGCTGTGCCATGATACGAGATTGTTACCCAAAAAGAAACATCCTCCTGATGTGCTTTTTCGATCATCCGTATTTCCTCCCCAATCTGCATCACAGTATCCTACTAGATGCGTACTCGTATCCTTTGTGTAATGCAACCCACAATCAACTGTCCCTTTGACATATTTGATTATCCTTTTTACTGACAGAAGGTGAGATTTCTTAGGTTTTGCTTGATATCTGGCACATACGCCCACACTTAAGCACAGGTCAGGTCTATTTGCCGTTAAATACAGTAAACTCCCGATCATACTCCTATAGAGTTTTGGATCAACATCTTCTCCTTCATCATCTTTCGTCAACTTGGTGGTTGTGGACATGGGAGTACGTGCTGATTTGCTCGTGTCAAGTTCAAATCTTTTCACCAAATTCCGAGCATACTTCCCTTGAGAGACGAAGATTCCATCGTTGTTTTGCTTGACTTGTAGTCCCAGAAAGTAACTGAGTTCTCCAAACATACTCATCTCAAACTCAGCAGTCATTGTCTGAACAAACCAGTCAACCTTTGACTGGGATGTAGATCCAAACACAATATCATCCACATAGATTTGTACTACTAATAGTACATCGTCCGAATTATGGATGAAAAGAGTTTTGTCTACTCCCCCTCTTTTGTAGCCGTTCTCGAGTAGAAAACTGGCTAATCGTTCATACCATGCCAGAGGGGCTTGTTTTAACCCGTAGAGAGCTTTCTTCAATCTGTACACATGAGTGGGAAAATGTGGATCCTCAAAACCAGCAGGTTGTTCGACGTACACTTCTTCTTGGATCACACCATTGAGAAAGGCACTCTTGACATCCATCTGAAACAACTTAAAACCAAGAAAACATGCAATGCCAAGCAACAATCTAATAGACTCTAGTCGAGCAACGGGTGCAAAAGTTTCATCGAAGTCAATACCTTCTACTTGTGTGTACCCTTGAGCGACTAACCTGGCTTTATTACGAACTACTTCTCCCGACTCATTTGTTTTGTTTTTGAAGATCCATTTCGTTCCAATCACATTAATGTGATCTGGTCGGGGCACAAGATACCACACATCATTCCTCACAAATTGCTCCAACTCATCGTGCATTGCCTTTACCCAGAATTCGTCTTTCAATGCTTCATCCACTCGAGAAGGTTCATTCTGCGAAGAAAAACACACAAAACGTACCATATCTTGATAATTCATCCTTTTACCTCGTGTACGCATGGGATCGAGTACATTTCCGATCACATCATCTTCGGAATGATTCCTGTGAACTGTAGGTGTAGGAGTAACTTCCAAATCGTCTTCTTCCTTGGTCTCAACTTCTGCATTGTCACTTTGTTCTTCTACCGAGTGCTCACTGGGAACATCGTGAAGTAGTTTCGGCGGGACTTCACTCTGCTCTGCACTATGTTCCTCATCAAAGACAACATTAGCTGATTCCATAATCGTTCTAGTGCGTAAATTGTATACTCTATAGGCAGCAGAGTTCATTGTATAACCCAAGAACGTACCTTCATCACTTTTGGCATCGAACTTCCCTCTGTATTCTCGATCATTCAACACAAAACATCGACAACCAAATATATGAACAAACTTCAGAGGAGGAGTCTTACCTTTCCATATTTCATATGGAGTTTTGGCTGTGCCTGGTCTGATATGGACGCGGTTGATAAGGTAGCATGCCGTACTTACCGCTTCTGCCCAGAAACGTTTCGCAACGTTTCTTGCATGTAACATTGTTCTCGCCATTTCTTGCAGTGTCCTATTCTTCCTTTCAACCACTCCATTTTGTTGAGGAGTTTTAGGTGCAGAATACTCGTGGACAATCCCATATTTGTTGCAGAATTCTGCAAACTGTTCATTTTCAAATTCACGCCCATGATCACTCCGAATTCTCTGAACACTACCTTTTCCATTTCGGAGTTGCAGCCATAAGTGTTCGAATACACCCAATGTTTCTGACTTCTCTCTTAAGAACCTGACCCAAGTAAAACGTGAGAAATCATCAACACATACAAACACATACCTCTTTCCTCCAAGACTCTCCGTCTGCATTGGTCCCATCAAATCCATGTGCATCAACTCGAGGATTTCAGATGTGTGTATCCCATCGATCATTTTATGATTCACCTTGATTTGCTTTCCAAGTTGACATGCTTTACACACCAGTGTTACCTGCGATGATAACTCAGGTAATCCTCGTACAACATTTGACCTTGACAGCTTTACCAACGACCTTGTGTTAATGTGTCCCAATCGTTGATGCCATAACTCCAGTTCAGAGTCGACTGTTGTGAAGCACTTCTCACTTTGAGTGCTTCGTCAGGATTTACCCAAGTGTAGCAATTACTGGGAGTTCTTTTTCCTGTCAACACACAATCTCCAAGAAGGTTTGTAACAACACAAGCATCTTTAGTGAAATTTACTTGAAATCCAGAATCACACAGTTGACTGATGCTTATGAGATTTGCCTTGAGTCCTTGGACAACATTGACATCTGTAAGTTTGGGCAGTTCTGATGCATCCAGATTTCCTTTGCCCAAGATATTTCCTTTTCTTCCATCTCCAAATGTCACGTTTCCTCCTTTGGGATTTTCTTCAAATGTAGACAGCATATTGACATCTCCTGTCATATGACGTGAGCATCTACTGTCAAAATACCACCGTTGTTCGCTTGACTTCAGTTCAGAGGTGTATGCCACATTACACCTTGAGACATCTTTACTTCTCCAGACT